TCGATGCCGAAATGATTGTTTATTAAACTCGGTAATGTAACGGATATTGATATATATTTGTTAACCTTCATGATTCAACGTAAAGTACGTTGTAAGATACCGCTCACCCGATGCAACTACAACATAGAAAACAGACGTAGAGTGGAAGCAATTCCTTGTTTCGTCAGATGAGTTATTGTACCAAAAGAAATTATTGTTAAGAATTCTCTTTCTCTTCACACTCTTTTTTTAATAAAGAAATAATGGAAAGGGGAACCGGACTTTGCGGGAGAGGGGATGCAAAGAAAAGGGGATTATATAATTTGCTGAGTGTACGTTTTGTGTAACTTTTGCTTGTGCTTTGACTCGAGTGACGCCGGGGTTTGTTAGTCTATATTTATAAAAATTTGTACATTCGCATCGAATAGGCTCCGAAATTACTGAACCGATTAGAAAAATTCTTTCACTCTTCGGAGACTACACTATCCCTAGGTGAGCATAGGCTATATTTTTTATTGTGACTAAGTTGCGGGCATCGGCTACCTTACTAATTTTATAAATGCGAAAGTTTAGATGGATAGATAGTTGTATGTTTGTTAGAAGGTATTTCCACAACGGATCAACAGATCTCGATTAAATTTGGTACTAATGTAGAGCATAGTCTGGAAAAACACGTAGGTATTTACCATGGTTTGGCGGTTGTGTTCCGAACGGAGATGACCGTCGGGGGGTTATAGTCGTTGCAAGCTCGACATAACCACCTTTGTTCCCACAAGAATGGTATGCGAAAGGTATTGTAAAAGGTATTTACCAAGGTATTTAATTAAGCGTGGACAAAGTCGCGGGCAACGGCTATATATAATAAATAAGCTGCGATCATTAACTCGTGCCGGTGGCTCGTGCGGTGACGTTCGTGTTCGGATAACCTCTCTGATAAACCGCCAATTATCGACTCGCCTCTCGCCTACCCGATACTCTTTATTAGATGTCGCAATTATACCTCAATACATTTAGCGATTTAGCAATGCAAAGAGGTTTTCGCTTAACTTTTCTTTTTATAAAATAGTACATTTTTTGTTAATTTACTAATATTTCTTGTACTTGTACTCTAGGCTTTTGCTAGGATATGGTTTACGACAATAGTCAAATGGCGGGATTCAAACCCTCAACCACGTGATCGAAAATCCGAACCTTAACCATAATTATTCCTTACATTTGGTATATAGTAGTATGGGTAGTCAAAGTAAGGGTCAGAAACTCACCTACAGTTCCACTCATATTAAGCTACGTCGGTTATAAGACGACATTTAGCGACCACTATTTTTAAGCCTTTACCCTATATGTAATCACTAACTGTGACGCGCGACTGCGACTGCGCAGAATTAAAAAAAATTTAATTAATAGTCTATTATATTTGTTCTTCAAAACTATGTTCTACATCTATGCCTTTAAGCGAGATCCGTTGAGATATTCTGAAGATTATCGATATAATTAAATACATCCCTATTAAACAATAATCAATATTTATAAATACCTGTTACAATATAGTTAACGTAATACCGCGTTAAACGTGAGTCGTGGTTATCGAAAGCTCAAAGGGCGTCAAGGGTTATCGATAACCGATAGCAGAACAACGCGCGTCACTATTATAATCATTAAAAAAATAAACAAAGTGAAAATTAACTAAACAAATACAATCATATGTGGTGGCTAATATTTTGTAGAAAACTGTGGCAAAAGAGCAAGCGGCCAATTAATTTTGCGACAATAGCGAAGCACCCATAGACATCTCTAACAAGTTGGATACTTTAAATGAACAGAGGAGATTGTACCCAGAAATGAATATTTCTCTGTCCCATCGCTGAGTCCCAAAAGTGTACGTATTTGTGTTATATATATGAAAATCAAACATTAGAATTTGTAGGCAATTTCTGTTGGCTAAAATATTGTGTGCCTTTAAGGGCAAACTGTCGTTTGCTTTGTTCAAAATTGGCCTTAATAATTAAAAAAAACTATTACGTTTTATCAATAATTGTCTGTTTTTGGAAGAACGCTTAGGGTTATCATAACTTACATTAAATAATAGACAAAGGGAATAATAAATAAATCAATTGATAAACCAAATAATTAAACGCATGACTTAGACATGAATGGACAGTGCGACGCCGCTCTTTAACCTTTCAAAGGTTATCGATTTTATCGACGTTTATCTCTCAAATGGAATATAAGTGTCACCTCCCTAATATCGAAAATTACGTCTCTTCTAGTATCGATAAAAGTAAGCTTCTATTTCTCCTTAATTCGATTTAGGTTAGTGCAAGTCTAAGTATTTCTTCTCCTTTACAGAAAACATAAATGAGAAGATAAATTTATTATCTTCATATAGAAGATAAATTCATTTTCTTTCGTAGATGTAGTGAAAAAGCATAAATAAATCTACATAGACCCCGGTCTGTCAGTTCCTTTATAATAGCAATGATGTATAAATCAAATCAAATCTTCGCTGTCTTGCGAATTCCGATTACCGTATGCCCGTTTATCCGCTTGTAACATAAAAATAAAAAATTTGAAAACATGAGCTTTCGTCGACATTTGTTAACTATGCTCGCTTTAGCAAAATTCTTTGCCCACGTCGCAATTTCGTATTTCGAACGTAATAATCGTCATATAGCCTCTTCTGCTAGGCTGTAACAATAAAATCAAATCTTAGATAGACAATTTATCACTGCCTATCGCCCGCGACTCCGTAGAGTAGGCGTGAAATTAAAAACAACTTGATAGTAGTCTATATTTTCTTCCAGGTTATGTTCTACGTCTATGCCTATCTGGAGATACCTTCTAGCATCCTTCCATCTATCCAAACATTCCCATTTGTAATATAAGTAAAATAAGATTTAAAATTTAAGAGTTAAAGGTCCCGTTTAGTTAGTCACGTCTAATTCTAATTCGGCGATTCATTCTTAGGTAGCATATGATTGATGTAGCGAGGACGATGTCTGTTGATGTTTTCCGTCGACCTACCTGGCAACTGCAAACTCATTAATCAAGGTATTATCAGCAACTTCTACATTAATTTATTACATGTAATTAATTGGCTTAATGCTCGTTGATTTTGGATTGAGTTAAAAATTTATTTACGCCAAGAAATGATGAAAGGTCCGAGGTGAATGGAGTGAATGATCTGTTTAGTTTCTTGTTAATAGTATAAAGAGTATATAAATACTAATGTTGAAAATATCTCTCTCTCGCTCTCTCTCTCTCTCTCTCTCTCTGCCTAACTCGCATCCCATACAGTGGTGCGGTCAGCTTTACCAATAAGTCTCTTTAACTTCGCTCTGTCCTCGACATTGTCGTCTGAGACTTGGCTCAGTTCTTTTACCCCTATATCTTTCCATCTAGTTTTGTTTTCATCATCCAGAGGGGATCTGGGACCAATGTGGAAAATCATTTAGAAAAAATCAAATCAATACCTTTGATAGGTTTTACTCTGTAAACTTAAGTTTTTTTTCGTTTTTAAAAGAAATTTGAGACAACTTCTCCTATGGCTGGGTAAACCTATTGTTTGGGCAGAATTAAATAAGTAATCGATTACGTCAGTAGCAATGTCCGTGAAAAGTGTGGTATTACTACTGACAAATACTTCGTCGTTTTCCATAACAGCACGACTGTAAGCCAATTTCGCTTTTCATTTGTTGAAGTCTGCTTGCCTAAATTAGTTACGTGAATTGCCTAAACACTTAAGTACTTAAGTAACCTTTATTTTAAGTGATTCTGAAGTTAAAGTTCCACTTTTTAATTATCTCCTATTCTTTACAAACGCAAGTTTCTGAATTGAATATTTATACAAAGACTAGTAGTTGCCCGTAACTTCATCGGCCCGGAATTATTATAATAAATCTAGTAATAACTAAAATCTATGTCAACCGGGGATAGTGTAGCATCACAACAGTGAAAGTATTTTAGAATTCAGTAGTTTCGGAGTCTTTTACAAGAGTAGTAGAGGATCATTATTGGTTGAAATACATTGTTCTTACTTAACAGTTTCATTTTCTTAAATTGTGTGTCTTTTAATTTTCTGTTCGAATATGTTAAACGCATTAAGTATTAAGTAATAATTTGTTAGTTTCTGATTTTTAACTTTATGAATAGTGTACAGCGACCATCTACTATCTATTCCCCCTTTTTCATCTTGGGAAGAGGGGGTGGCTGAAAACCAGCTCAACGCTGGAATCTGACCTGTGTTGGCAAAGCTGAGCCACCCCCTTTTGCCAGCACTATCTCTGTATAACAGTATGTTGTATAATTTTGTTCAGTTTTTTTATGGCAATAAAGTTTTATTATTATTACTTTTATTATTCAACGCAAACAAACAAAAAATGCCGTCGGATTTTTTTTTGCGGAGTCACTGACGTATGACTTGAAAATATAATACAGTCAACAAATTATTTTATTGAATTTATCTAATAAATAATTCTATTAGGGCAGTTTGAACAAAATCGATAAGTTTAATTAAGAAATTGTTTCAGTGCTTACAAAATAGTAAATAGGTATGAGTTCGAATAAAGAGACGAAGATTTTTTGTTTTAAGTCTTTTCACCATGAATAAGAGGTTACTTGTTAATGTAATTTTGCTGCATTTTCAAGTGAATTTTCTCGGGATTAAAAGGGACTACATAGAGTAAAATAAAAGGAATAAAGCCTTCATGTTACGATCCTATTTAACATACTTTAAGAGTAGTGAACTAGCGAGCGTCAAAATGATTTAGTTCATCTCGACATGTTACATGTAAAATTGTTTTGTACCTTTTTTCCGGAGTGTTCAGAAGTTTTATTACTTTTACAGGGGTTGTAGAAATAACGGTGGGTTTCTTAGACCAAAATTTCCGTTTAAAACGTGTTGTCTCCGTTTTATCAAAGATAATGACAAGGATGTTTATACAGAGATTTTGGTTTCTAAAACCAAAGGTAAAACAACAAGCTTATGTAATGCCTGTCATAAAGTTCAATTTGAGCCTACGTACCGGCTTCCATAGTGTAACCAGCGGCGGCGGCGGCGGCGTGTAGCGCGCCATATTCCTTCCCATCCATAGCGCCTAGCATCATGCCACTCACAATCACAACACCATGCCTTGACGACGTGTCTAGAATATCCCGCTGGCAGCGTCAGACGTGACACCAGGGTTACCCCGCCACTTCAGCGTCAGCGCGTTACCTCCAGACGTCAGTCGCGTGTCGCGCGAGCGTGACATGTGGACGACCGACGTGCTCCGATGCGCGGGCGCAGCGTGTTCCGCCTCCATCCGCCATTGGTGCGCGTCGGCCAATCGCCGCGCTTCATTTCAAACGGGTACGCTTTTTATCACGCTTTCTATTTGAAGCGTGCTGATGAATCTTTGTGATTTGGTAAGGCAATTTCAACTTTGTGACGTATTGAATAGAGTTGAAAATAGTTCGGTGTATGTGTTTTTGGTGTGTCTGTTTTCCCGTTCGGTCGGTTGCGCTCGGGCAGCGGCGGGACGAGCGCGGACGGCGATGTGTCGCACGCAACATGGTGCGTGGTGGGCTGATGCGGTGCGCCGCGGCGGGGACCTATAATCATTATATACTTGCCTTGTTACATTGGTGTACGCTAGTGTGGGTGAGCCTTTAGAAATTTATGTATTTCGCATACTGAAATGAAAATGTTAACTTGGTTAGGTTTGAGAGATTTTCAGGTCCACAATGTCCTTACGAGTTTTAGAATTTGGGATTTTTAACAATATCCTTTCTCTTAATACCTCTTTTATATACATAATAAATATACATTTGGCAGTAATTTATATGACGCGTGATTTTTTTAAGGTCCAACTCTTAACTTAATATCTACGTACTACAACGTACTAGATACTTCGAAAATATTTACTTAAAAATATACTAGGGCTTAACCCGAGAAGGTTTAAGATTAAGTGGCATAAACAAATTCATTCTTTTATCCTATGATTCAATCTAAAACCGTATAATTTTCCTTATAGATAAACTTCATATGTCCCTAAAACTCGAAAGCTCAAATTATTTTGGCAAATTTTTTTTTTACATAACTAGTTCAATTATACCGTTTTAGGAATAATATCATCATGAGCTATACGTCCCCACTGAGGGGATCGGAGCCTATCCTAAGTTAGAGGTGACTAGGATATAGTCAACCACGCTGGCCTAAAGCGGGTTGACTTCACACATAATATCTTTGAATTGTTTAGCAGGTTTAATCACGATTATGTCAGCAACTCCGTCAGCGTGAAATTAAAAAAAAGTTAATTAGTAGCCTATGTGGTCTTCCAGACTATGTTCTACATCTACGTCCCTCGATCCCCCATCGAAATCCCTTTACCCGGTCCACAGACAACTGCTAACAAGGATCCATCCATCTAAACATTTGCATTTATAATATTACTAAGATATAACTAAGTATTTAGTCTACAATATAAATATCTAAATCTTACTAAAATTATAAAAGCATACGTTTAGATGGATGGACCTCCGGAACGGCTCAAAGGATCACGCTAAAATTTTATATAGATGTAGAACATAGTCTGGAAAAACACAGGGCTACTAATTTTTTAATTCCGCACGGATGGAGTCCCAGACGACAACTAGTATATATAAAATACATCGCTTTATTTTTATTTGCGGAAACGTGTATCTTTGTCGCGTCTCGGTTCATTTGTTTCGACAAAATGTAACGTTGCAAGCAACAAAGCGCCCGCGCAACTTTTTGCTGACAAGGCACATATTTGTGGTAATTAACAGATATACGCCTTAAGCGGTTTCTTTTGGATTTTTTTCTATATTAATGTGAAAGTTTTTTTGAACAGACGGAAATAATAAAATGTTACAGAGAAACTCTGAGACGCTGTAGATTACATACGAGTAGAGTAACCTGTCTTTAATGTAACTTGGTGTATATTATTACTATATTAGTTATTTATGCTATATTTATATGCACATATTACTAATATTATAAAGTTTAAATGGAGGGATGGATGGATGCATTGGCCCGGCTCGCCCGGTGAAATACCACGACCACACAGAAGACAGGCGTGAAGTGGAAGCAATTCCGCGTTTCTTCTGATGAGTTTGCGTCCCGGAGTCCTAATTTAATCCTCTTTCATTCATTAATGTAAACGGGATTCTCGTATGATTTGGGCTTGGTATAAATGTGTCGGTCTAACGATAGGTTCAAGGCTCTACTACCAAAGCCTTATCAACATCCAAAACCTTTGAGTTTTAACCAATCATCATCATCATCATCAGCTCACTATACGTCCCCACCGAGGGGCTCGGAGCCTACCCTAAGTTAAGGGTGATTAGGCCATAGTCAACCACGCTGGCCAAGTGCCGGTTGGTTGACTTAACTTGTTGGGTTTTAACCAATAACGGGCAAAAAATATAAGTAGTTGATATAAAATTGCAAAAATGAACTTTGCCTTTGCTTGCTCTTTCTTCTATGTTTCCTAGGTTTATAGTAAGGGGTTTTTATTTGTTAATAAGTTTTCATGCCAATAACATGTTAATATAACCTAAAATTTACCACCAGTTAAAAACAATACGCATTGGAACGTAAATAAAATATTAATAACAAGCTTGTTTGTTAAGAATCGTATCGCAGCGCATACGCGCCGCGCTCCGGGTTCGATTCTTTTATAATAACCTATAAAACCCATTGTTCTATAGCAGAGCGCGTGGTTTATACCCAATTGTCCTGCACTTGGATATTAATATTCATACAAAAAACGTCATAAAACCCACAACAATACAATCGAAATTGTACTTAATTCAGTCGACTTATGGTTTATTTTCGTACGAATTAAACTTTGAGATATGTTGATATATCGTGGTTTCTAGATTGTTCGCCCCACACAGTATTGTTTCGTATCAGATTATCTTTATAAACGCGCTTTATAGCTCTCGTTTATGCGCCATTTTTTATGAAAACTCAAATATTTGCTTGCCATTGTGTAGGCCTTTATCGGTCGCAAATCAATTGCACATAATCTAATGACTACTAACTTTGAAATTAAAAAAATAATAATATGGAAAGTTACCTCACCTTTAAAGATATATGTAACGACTAGCTATCGCCCGTGATTCCGTCCGTACGGAATTAAACTTAACTATTACACTATGTGTTCTTCCAGACTATGTTCTCCATCTGTGTTAAATTTCAGCGGGATCCATGCAGCCGTTCTGGAGATACTTTCTAACATACATTCATCCATCCTAACATTAGCATTTATAATATTAGTAAGATTTAAATCTTGGCCATCCATGACACATTTCCTTTATTTTTTTGTGTGTTAATAAATAATTTAGTTCATAAAAATGTAAACATTTTAAGTATGTAATAACACCGCGGACGTTACAGTAAATAAACTCGTCCCAACCCTGTGTACAACATTGTCAGATCAAAAGAACCTCACCCCAAACCCGCCCCTAAGAGTTCGCTAACTCGAGACAAGCACGGCAATAAAAACCTCCCGTACCGACGTCATTAATACTTTCACACGAGGGCAGATCTAAAGCAGAGTAGAAGACAAGGTAGAGTTTGTCGTTAATCACACACTTTCCTTCTTAATTTAGTAAGTAAAAATTCTTTTTTATTCCAAAGAATAATTTTCAAAATGTGGTCCATTTTCATAATGAAAAACTGACAAACCGTTTTTTAAGATATTATTTAGGATTAAAGACATTTTAGTATTTTGATGTTGTTAATCTGTTTTACATTTTTCGAATTTCTAAAGCCCAGCTGCTCATTTCCTACCGCTTCAATAAGACTCCGTAGATTATGTAATATTTGATTAACGATGTCTTTAGTAACTTGTATCATAAAATGTGTCAAAATGTGTCGGAATAATATGACAAGCATGTGATACCAAATTATTGTCAGTCCGTTTTAGTCAGCGATATCTCTAACCGAATGTTACATCTAGCTGGACTACTTGCCCTTCCTAAGTGTACTGTCCTCGTGTGAAAGTCTAACTCTCAACATCTGATATTTAGGAGCCTCGTCCGCCCTCACTATAAATACTCTCCACCAGACACGAGATCTTTCTGATCTCTGCGGCGGGCGACGCGCGCCATCGCCGACGATAATCGTACCGCCTACCACACTTGTATCCCACATCAATATAAAACAAAAATCAACTTAATCAGCATACAAATAGAGCTTAAAGTACTTTAACAAATGTAGTTTACATCTCCTATACTTCAGTAATACAACCGAAGCTTTCTTCAAAGTCATTGAAACTTCGTCTTTACTACTATAAGGTAGAGTTCAAATTATAATGATTACGATTACGCTTTTACCTTTTGGGTCTATTATTGCGAATTTAAAATTGAGTTCTATTTCATATGTGTGAAGTTTGAATTTCGAATGAAAGGAAAGAAAGGGTGAATGATACAGATGTGTAAAGTTGATGGTATCTTGTAGTTTTAATTAGAATATTTAATTAAGAAATAGCAGTTATCCGAAACGATAATTAGATTTCGTCTTCCCGATCACTTTGTACTGCTTTTAATTACACTCCGTATTAAATTATATTTTTCCATGAAATTAAATATGAATTATTAAATCATTTTACACCAAGTTAGTTGTTTTTGAGCGACGGTGGCTCAGTGGTCAAGCACTTGACTTGCAATCTGCAGGTCCTGGGTTCGAATCCCGCCATGTACCAATGTGTTTTTCGGTTTCCGATTTACATATGTACATTTATCCGACGTTCTTACGGTGAAGGAAAACATCGTGATGCAACCTGCACATATCTGAAAAGAAATTCAAAGATATGTGTGAAGTCAACCAACCCGCACTTGGCCAGCGTGGCTGACTATGGCCTGATCACCCTTAACTTAGGGTAGGCTCTGAGCCCCTCGGTGGGGACGTATAGTGAGCTGAGGATGAGTTTGATTTTAATTAAACAAATAGAAAAAGACAAATCAATGAATTACTTATACCAAATAACAGCATTAAGTAGATAAAGATTTTAAAACTATATATAATTATATACGTAAGTATTTTATGTAATCTATAAAAAATATATATATCATTTTTGTTATGTTATTTTCATACAAAAAATGATAAAACAGAAAACGTGCAACTAATATGATCCGTCACATCCTCCTACAAATAAGCGCCCTCACAGACAGGCCGACAAACGGCAGTGACAGCCCCCGGTGTCAGTATCAAAGGGACCGCCCCGAGCTTCCACCACGATAGTGATGTGAACTGTACTAAGTTATGATATCGATAATGTCGACAAGAAAGTAATTTCAAGATCGATGGATCGTGGATATAATCGAGACATTGGGAGTCATAAT